TATACAAAGTTACATCTGAAAAGAAAAGTATAACTGCGCTCAGTGCCAAAGCCCTTTGTACTGTGAAAAATCAAAACAATGATATAAGAAAAAATGAAGCAAAAATAAGACAAAACTGAAGAATGTATTTGGTTTAGTCACCGGAGAAAACCTAAAACTTTGATGTTCCAACAGTGAGGAAAAGAATAATATAATAATTTTCCATAGTCATTACATATAGTTGCAGAGTTCACATTTTAAAAATGCTGTTTTTCTTTGAAATAAATTTGGAAATTCTCCAGCAATATCAGGCTCAATAACCGAACCATAATTTGCAAATAAAAATCTACCCCACCTGCACCCATCCAAATATGTGAAAATAGTAGATAATGTTCCCATTTGGATTCACTGACTACTGGGTGTCCACTTTGCCAGGGTTATATTTATGATGTAACTAACTTAGAAAAATAAGTTTGTATCTTCTGAAACTGAGTAAGACCCCAAGTATAAATATCTGCACCAGGATGTTTTCTGCATGGTAACATGGTCTTTAAAGTTTTTAATACAATCTCAGTGTTCAAACAGGTCTTAAAAAGTCACGTAATCTAACTTTCTACCCAGTGCACACATCTCCCTTATAACATCCAGAATGCGTAACTGTTTAACTTCTGCCTGAAAACTGCCCTCCTGCTAAGAGATGGGAAATCCTATTGCATAAGACAGCTTATTCCAGTTCACAACTTGGTTTTTTTCTTCCTACAAGAAGGTGTTTGGAAAGAAAGGAAACACAGTATTGCACCACTTTATCATCATTTGTTGACCTTATGCCTGAAACTGTTAACACATGGCTCCAGATAAATGGGGACAGAAACAGGTTGCTTGGTGATGGAAGAGGTAAGAGAGAGACCATAAATCCACTGCTGCACTCTTTTAAAAAATTAGCTATTATAATAACAACAACAATACAATAATAATACATGATCAGGGCAAAAAATACAACCAACGTGAAAGGATTAAAGTGTAAACCTAAAGACTGCTTCCCATTTCTAATCATTCTCTTCAAAGATAATCATTAACTTTTTTTTTTTTTTTTGCGGTACGCGGGCCTCTCACTGTTGTGGCCTCTCCCGCTGCGGAGCACAGGCTCTGGACGTGCAGGCTCAGCGGCCACGGCTCACGGGCCCAGCCGCTCCGTGGCACGTGGGATCTTCCCGGACCGGGGCACGAACCCGTGTCCCCTGCATCGGCAGGCGGACTCTCAACCACTGCGCCACCAGGGAAGCCCTCTGCTTTCTTTTTAATAGCTAATTCCGTGGTATAAATATATCACCATTTATTTACCCAGACCCATATTGATGACACTTAGATTACTTTTTCACACTGTTTTAATTGTGATACAAAGTCAAACTTATCTTACTGAAATTTCTTTCTATAATTTTTATTCTGGAATCCTTTGGAATAAACTTAATCTGTCATTTAATAGATCTTTAAACATTTGAAAATCACCATCGTATCATATGCGGAATAAATGGCAGAACATATGAAGGAAAAGTTTTGAGTTATATACTGAGTTATATACTCAGGTATATCAATAGGAGAAATGCTTTCTTCAAATAAAAACAAGCTACAAGTCTGACAGCACTAAATGCATGCCTAAATTGTGGTCTACAAAGCTGACAGGATATTATACAATGATTAGAAACGTGTATCTAATGCAGCATCAAGACAAATGTTACAATGTTCAGTGAATGAAGACATGCAATTGCATGTGAACTGAGATTAACTATGAAATATGTCTGCATATGAAAAAGAGAAATATTCAAATAAAATGTGGCTGAGTTAGGGTGATAAGAACATGGACCACCATCTCCTTTCAAAATATCCTTTAATATTTCATAATTTGGTTTCTACAATAAATTAAAAAAGGAAAAAAATGACAGCTTTTAGGAAGACCAAAATCCTCATTCTCAGTTTCAAGACTCTCAAGGCCCTCTTTCTTCCCTGATTATCTTAGAGATAACCTTCACAGTAAATAATCAGGTCTTGAAATTCTTGATGGCAAAGTTATACTCAGCAAAGAAAGCTAGAAGTGTGACTGTCCACTAGAGAACACGACGGTATAGAAGGGAAGAAGTTAGAGATCAAACAAGGAAAAGAAGGGACAATCAGGAAGAGCTCCACCTTAAACCATGTTCACAATCATCCAGTACTACCATTTTTGTTCTATCTACCCATGAGTAGAGAACTGGTATGAATTTCCAGATCATACAGTCAGGGCAATGTAGGGGTCAAAAAGCAAGGTAATGAATAAGACTTTTGTACTTAAGGAAAAAATGGTCAAATTATTCTCAAGCCAACACAGAAGTTCTTATTCTAGGAATTTAAAGTCTCAAGCTATACCAGTGTCCTTTAAATTCATAATCACTCATTTCTCCCCCCAAATTTCATCCATTTATTTCGTAAGTACCGATTAATTCCTTTAACAAACCTAAGTCACAATGGGCTTCTTTTTCTTTTTAAGTATTCCTTGTCATGGTACCCAAATATCGTGCAAATCTTCAGCCTGTGCTGATTAATGACAGACGAAGCACCAGTGAGTAAAAACAACGACTGCATAATTTTGGTTTGTGTGCTTTCAGCGTGAAAGGCTGTTTATTTACAGTGCCACAGCACCACCTTGGTTCTGAAGAGAAGGGCATATGTGCTCTAGCTGCTCATACATTAACTACTGATGAGTAACATTTGCAGCTGGGAACTTCACTCTAGAAAAATAGGAAGAGAAATGCTTGTGCCTGTAACTTAGGAAGAAGCTCTAGTGTTCATGCTCACATTTATAGGGAGACATGGTGAAATCTTGTCTACTTTGTCAACTGATCTACTTTCAAAATAAATTTCCTGGCCTCTCGCCTTCTGAGATGGCCCACACTCTGTGGAGTGTGTTTCTCCCAGGGCCGTTCTCACCTTTTGAGACGGACCACATTCTGTCTACGGAATGTGTATCTCTCTAAATAAATCCACTTTTTACCTATCATAAATAAATAATTTCCCTTTTTCAGCCATCCTCAGGGAATATCTTTCTTAATAACTTGGCAAAAATCTAAAACGCATGCTTATCAAATCTTCCTAAGTTCCTTCTGTCACCAGAATTCTTCCCAGCTTCCTATTATGTGAAAGAACTATGTAGGGCCCTGAGATACATTTGAGACACCAGGGTGGAGAAGGCACAAGCCTGTTCTTAAGGAGCTTATAGTAGTCTTATGGAAGGGGCAGGGTGGATATGCAGTTATAATTAAAAAACAGTCAATGTGCAATCACCAGTAACAGAATTAGGATTGAAAAGCATCTGAATACTTAGTAAAAATGGGATAAAATAAGATGACACTTAGGAGGTTCTGGTGATCAAAATCAATTATATAACCAGAAAAATTCAGAAAGCCTTGGTTGATGGCAGCTTATGTAAAAAAGACATAAAGGTTTCAACTGAGTAGAACACAAATGCATAAAAGTCAACTATGTAAAATGGCTGTTAAAATAGCTAACCTAGGGGCTTCCCTGGTGGCGCAGTGGTTGAGGGTCCGCCTGCTGATGCAGGGGACACGGGTTCGTGCCCCGGTCCGGGAGGATCCCACATGCCGCGGAGCGGCTGGATCCATGAGCCATGGCCGCTGAGCCTGCACTTCCGGAGCCTGTGCTCCACAACAGGAGAGGCCACAACAGTGAGAGGCCCGCGTACCGCAAAAAAAAAAAAAAAAATAGCTAACCTAAATTAATAGAACTATTGTGTCCAGATCAAGGAAGATAATAATCCCACTGCCTCCAAATCCAGAGTTACTGGTGCTGTTTTATGAGGCTCATTTAAGAGGGACATCACAGAACTAGGAGTGTGTGTGTGTGTGTACATTCATGCTTCCTAGTGGAGCAATGACAGTGAAGTACCTGTTAATCACATAACGCAAAAAACTGAAGGAACTGAAGACACGCAGCTTAAAAGAAGACTTGCAGGTGAGCAGTGGAGGGGCAGCATATAACAGGTGAGATGAATGCATTTGAGCTGTCTGCAAGAACTCATGTTAGGTTCAATGAAAGACAAACGCTCATCCTGGCCTCCCTAGGTTATGACTATGGCTGATTATTGCCATGGTCAGGGTATAAGATGACTTGAATAACACCCAGTGGTTCTTATATAATTGTATATATTTTAGGAAGTGAAACTCAAATTCCTTCAACAGTACCTTCAATAATGGTACTTGAAATAGAAACTATGTTTCAGTCATTCACAAAAAACTGTCACATTGAAGAAGCATAAAGCAGAGGAATGTCTATTAATGTCAAACAATTAAACTAGCACTGGAGGATTTCATCTTCTGCAATAGGAATCCTATGGGTTCAACCTCCTTAGAGTTGGTAACATTTGTTCAGTCAATATATTTTTCTGCAAGCCAGTAAAATATTTCAGAAATTTGACCTTTTTGGTAAAAAAACAGGGATGTTTTTAAAAATTATAAACTTAATTTTTTAAAAATCCTCAGAGGTCATAGGTTATTACAATCATATAGATAGGTCTTCTAAATTAATGAGAACAATAGATAAAGTGACACTGTTAAGGTATTTCAGAAGATATATTTTAGTAATATGTCTTTAAAATGGATATATAGTCTCAATGTGGTAAAAACAGCTTGAAAATTACCAACACCTCCTCCTTTCTTTCTGTATACACAAAGGAATGAAAAGAGAATGAATAAACTACCAAAAAGCAAAAACCATTCCATGTGTATTTCAGGTGAATGAAAGCATTCACAGGTTGGTCTGTGGGCAGGCATGGTAGCACAGACCCCCAATCAACTCAACTGCCCTTCTAGATGCCAGAGAGTAAGTAGCTTTTTAGTTGACTATGTGTATTTACCTATCCAGCAAGTAGGGGAGATACATGGTCTGGCAAAAAAGGTAGACAAGAAAATTTACATATGTTAGGACTTTCAGCTAAGCTATATGCTGAATAAATGGAGGAAACATTGACTTACCTGCACTGCCGAGCTGTTTATAAAACCTGTACTCTAAATGAAGCTGTGGAGCACGTGATTTTATTGGTTCCTGAAACCCAAGAAGAGAAATTGTGATCAGATTTAGACAGTTTTTTCATTCCTAGGTTTTCAGAGTAAACCAGGGCTAAGACCACTTAATATTTTAGAGATGATATTCATATATAATAGCATTTTCTTACCACAATTTCTCTTTGAAAGCACATCTAGGGGAAGATGAAGCTGAATTATATACAATCCCTGCCACGGATATTTAAATAAAAATACTCTGTATGAGACATCACTCAAGGATAGCTCTCTCACCATGAAGTATTCTTCTGAAATATATTCTCCTAGGAAACCAGGTGCCAAATCTTTTAATTAAATACCAGCAAGTAGGGCTTCCCTGGTGGCACAGTGGTTGAGAGTCTGCCTGCCGATGCAGGGGACACGGGTTCGTGCCCCGGTCCGGGAAGATCCCACATGGCGTGGAGCGGCTGGGCCCGTGAGCCATGGCCACTGGACCTGCGCGTCTGGAGCCTGTTGCTCCGCGACGGGAGAGGCCACAGCAGTGAGAGGCCCGTGTACGGCAAAAAAAAAAAAAAAAAAAAAAAAATACCAGCAAGTATTTCCTTCTTGTTTTATTATGAATTTTGGGTAGTAAATGGTTTTATTATTTATAGAAAAATGATATATGCTCAGGAAAAAAATTTCATATACACAAAAATTAGAAAGAAAGTAAAAATAACCTGAGATTCTATCATTTAAAAGAAAAGCACTATTAACATTTTGGTGAATGTTCTTCCAAATATTGATTTATACATATATTTATATATAATATAGACTCAAAAATGTATTTTAAATAAATGAGAACATACTATATTTGGTGTTCTATGTCTTTAAATTCAACATGTGATGATGACATCATTCCATAACAGTAAGTAAAACTATATATTAGTGTGTGTGTGTGTGTGTGTGTGTGTGCGTGCGTGTACATACACACAAACCTTAACTTTTGGACATTTGAACTGTTTTCAGTTTTCAATATTATGAATAAAGCTGTAGGAACAGTGTTATGTATATTTATTTTTACACTTTAGAGAATTAAAGACTGTAAATGCAACTAAGATATGTAACTTGTAACTTTAATTAATACAGTGTTCAAGTTTTTAAAAATAGAGTTTTCTAAAGAGCCCAAAGATAAAGCAGCCATACTACCACACTTTGCTCTATACCAAACTTCAAGAATTGGCTGGCTCATCATTCTGAATTGACAGTATATCAGGCAACTAGTTAACAAGAAAATCAAACATTACCCTGAAAGATACATCTGTATATCCATTAGGATGGCTAATATCAAAAACACAGAAAATAGCAAGTGTTGGTAAGGATGTGGAGAAATTGGAACCCTTGTGCACTGCTGGTGGGGATGTAAAATGGTGCAGCTACTGTGGAAAACAGTACAGCAATTTCTCAAAAAATTAAATATAGAAGTACCACATGATCCAGCAATTCCACTTCTGGATATACACCTAAAAGAACTGAAAACTCAGACTCAAAATGATATTTGTAGACCCATGTTTGTTGCAATATAATTCGCAATAGTCAAAAGGTGAAGTGACCCAAGTATCTATAAACAAATGGATGGATAAATAAAATGTGGTTACATTTTGTTCCATATGTGTGATGGCATATTAGTTAGCCATAAAAAGGAAGGACATTCTGACACATGCTACAAAATGTATGAACCTCAGGGATGGTATGTTAAGTGAAATAAGCCAGACCCAAAAGGACAAACACTGCATGATTCTACTTGTATTAAGTACCTAGAATAGTCAAATTCATAGACAGAAAGTTGAATGGTGCTTGCCAGGAGCTGGGGGGAGAGGGGAATGCTGTTGGTGTTTAATGAGTACAGCATTTTAGTTGAGGAAGGTGAAAAAAAAGTTCTAGAGATGGATGATAGTGATGGGTGCACACCAATGTGAATGTACTTAATGCCACTGAACTGTACAACTAAAAATGGTTAAAATGGTAAATTCAAGAATCAATTCTTTATCAGATATATGATTTTCAAATATTTTCTCCCATTCCATGGGTTATCTTTTCACTGCTCAGAGTCCTCTGATGCACAAAAGTTTTTGATAAAGTCCAACCTATCTATCTTTTCTTACTTGTGCTTTTTTGTGTTATATCCAAGAAATCACTGCCAAATCTAACCTTATGAAGCTTTTCCCCTAAGTTTTCTTCTAAGATATTTATAGTTTTGGCTCTTATGTTTAGGCCTTTGACCCATTTTGAGTTAATTTTTGTGTATGATGTAAAGGGTCTCACTTCACTGCATGTGATCTCCAGTTTTCCCAACACCATTTGTTGAAAAAAACTGTCCTCTCCCCATTGAATGGTTATTTGTCCTATTTTTAATATAGGCTCAAAGGAAGGAGAGTTCCACAGCTTCCCTTATTAATTCATGCTGGTGTTTAACAAGTTTCATGGTTTAGAAGGTCTTTATATGTAACTGCAATCTCCACTTACTGAAAGTTTAGCCTATTTCTCTTATAAATCCTCAGTAACAAAGACAAAATAGCTCCCGAATAACCTGTGAATACTATAACAGCTATCTTCAAATAACAAAGCTATTCAGTCATTTCTTAAACTTCCTTTATTCAGGCAAAGTAATTTAAATTTTTTTAACCTTTCCTCACTGGTCCTACTTTTTAGTTATTTGATCACCCCTGAAAGCTCTTCCTGAACCTACTTGAAGTTTTCTGCATTTTTCTTAAAATACAGAATCCATAAATCACAGAATTCAGAACTTTCCTTGAAGTTATCTAGTCTACACCTTTGCTTCTAGGAAGGTTTTATCTAAATCAATTCAGGTAGGCTAGAATACTTCAAAGCCCTAAGGAGCTCTATGAAAGAACTCATACCCTTCTCTGATTGCAAAATCAGCAAGCATCAGAGTTGGCCTTCAAGTTTCTCAAGATTCTTGTATTCCAAAAAAATGTATTTAAGACTATACTGTAGAGTCACTTCCTTATTCATTTATCTCTTCAGCTACAGAGTCTCCATTCAGGTTTTAGATCTTCTAATATATCACCATCAAAGCAGCCAATTTCAGAATTTGTCTTTTAGCAAAATCATTAATAATTCACAAGAAACCAAAAGAGACAGTGATGACAAATTGATATGGAACCAGAGGTTGATCTAAACACTAGAAAGAGGAGTGTTCTTTCTGGAGAAACAGTCTTGAATTCGAACAAACCACAAGAGTCAATGAATTTTAAAAAACACAGATCCTTCTTCAAACCTAATACCTTCAAACTTCATACTGGAAACATTAATAGGAAATATTCAATCTGATCTTGGGTAAATAAGTTAACAGATTAAAAAAAGCAATATCTCTTTAGAGTTATAGGGCTAAAAGTGGGTGTACACATCACATATATTCAGACATGAGGGGCTTTTTATCACAGACGGAAGGACTTACATCCTTCAGCCAACCCCTTCAGCACGTAGTCATAGCCTGCTCAACCAACTGGAGCTTCAAGTGCTCTTCTGAAAGCACTATGAATAAAGGACACTGCAAACAATCTATAAGATTGTAAAAGGCAGTAGGATTAGCAGCATGGAGAGAAAACTTTTTAAACAACTGTTAGAAAACCTCTGTTAAAAAGAACCCCAGAAACCTCAGTGATAGGGGTAAAGGAGGGGTTCATCACACTAGTTTGTTTACACTGTATCTGATTTTTAAAAAAATGTTCCTAGAAATCCAAGAAACAAGAGCCCACAATGAAGATCCAAACAAAGTAGAACTGAAACACTACCAGCCAGGGCTTCCTTGTATTTCTGTGCCAGATGCTGACTACATTTGCATAGAGGGCTGGCTATTTGCCAGAATCATGGTTATTCTGGAACACACATGCCTGCCTGAAATCCTAAACTGACAGCAGATGGCTACCTTGTAGGACAGTAATGCTTAAGGCAAATTTTGCTGTTACAGTGAAAAGAGCTCAATTACTGCCATCATACCTCCCACAGAGAATACAGCCCCACAGCAAGAGAGGAGGCCCATAGACAAGATTGTCATCCTCTAAAAAGCCTTTATTTAAGGTTTATTTGAAAGAGAAATGAGGTACTGAGGCACACCATACTAGATGACATGAAGTCTATCTACCTTTAACTCTTGGCCATACAAAGAATAAAACTTTAATAAAATGTAAGTGAAATGCAATAGTCAGTCATGTCAATAATGTTATGCAGCCTTATCTAAACAGGTCAACTAGTATGAACCTGGAAAGAGGAATCTAGATAGAACGAGTTGCCCCTAACAGAAAGCCTCAGAAGAAGTTTTGATAAATAAGGGGACAATAACAAATATACAGTATTGAGGCAACATTTTAAATTGTTTTAGGGGCTGCTTCTCCCTATTACTAGTCCCAAAGAATCAAAATTATTCCAACTTGGGGCTTCCCTGGTGGCGCAGTGGTTGGGAGTCTGCCTGCCGATGCGGGGGACGCGGGTTCGTGCCCCAGTCCGGGAGGATCCTGCGTGCCGCGGAGTGGCTGGGCCCGTGAGCCATGGCCGCTGGGCCTGTGCGTCTGGAGCCTGTGCTCCGCAGTGGGAGAGGCTGCAGCGGTGGGAGGCCCACATACCGCAAAAAAAAAAAAAAAAAAAAAAAAATTATTCCAACTTAACAAAACAATAAAACAGAAAAAGTAAAAAAGAGATGAACTAGATAACACTTCCACAGAATAATCAAATTCCCATAAATACAAATATACAGTTAATTCCTTGACATTCAAGCTGAGAAAAATATTTGGTCTGCATTGTTACATGCATTGTCTCTCTTCCTGCTCTAATTTCTCCAACAAAAGTTCCAAGTCAACAAACAAAACACTTGGTTCCCAAGGAGCTACCTGCTCTAAGACCTGCTCCCTGTCCACCTCTTTGTAGAGAAACTAAACTGATGCCTGTCAGTTCTTTACAGGACAACTCTAACTCCTCCACAGACAAGCTTAATGAGAGGAAAGGACCCACCACAGAGCAGGTGTGGATGTGGTAGGGGCAATTCATTAGAAAAGAACAGCAATTACCACAAGATACTTCCTTCAACTATTAACGCCTCTGCCTTCCAACTAATAAAGCCCAAAACTACCTTTAGATCCTGGGAAATGTACTAGGATTTATTAGGAGGACAGTATTTATACAGTTTCATAGAAACTAGTTATGTAAAGCATTTCATATAGCTAGAAATGGTTTTTCATCAACCTTAAATATAAGACAAAGAACTATTTCTTCTAAAACTATTAATCCTTAAAAATAATAGAATTATTCTTTTTTAACAGGATGTTATTTTCAATGACTAGGTTAGTTATTCATAAGATTAGCAATGACAAAACCAATTGAACTCTTTGCTTCAAATCTGACCACGTAATGTGTTTTTCACGTTTGACAGCTTTTTAAGGCAATGATTAGATGATCACATTCAGAAGTATATTAATAAATACCTTACATTTTTAAAATGGATAAGTCATATTCAAGAATAAGAAAATTATAAAAAACAATAGCACTGTGAAAGGTACAAAGTTTACAGCAGTTACTAGGGTTTTTTGTTTTCCTTCCAGCTATGTTTTATAAACTTTTTTTGATTTATCATTGCTAACGCTATAGTTAGCATCCTCTAACTATATAGTGTTTTACAGTATACAGTGATTCATCACTGTAACACTATATATATTTGAAGGAAATGACTATGTGGGATCATATGCAAGGAAAAATAACATTAGTATTTTTGTGAATGGTTACAATTATTTCCTGTAAAAAGATATGTGAAGGGTGAGAGCACTAAAACATAATTACCACAAATACAGATTCTACTCACCAGTTTGATAGCTACATATTCATTGGTGTAGAGATTTTTACCTAGGGGAAAAGCAGAATGTATATGTTTTAGTGACATTTATTCTGGGAAATGCAAAGCAAAATCTTAGCTTACAGGGTCATGAGAAAGGTCACATTCCCAACGCTGTTCACATATATGAAACATGATTTGTAAGTGAAAAGCCAAACAGAGATAATGAGACCCAGCAAGACAAGAACAAAAACAGCTTGAGAATTTGAAAATTTAAGCTAGACATGAGAATCTTTTATTTTAAAGAAAACAAATCTCGGGGACTTCCCTGGTGGTCCAGTAGTTAAGACTCCACGCTCCCAATGCAGGGAGCCAGGGTTCCATCCCTGGTCAGAGAACTTGATCCTGCATTGCATACCTCAGCTAAGAAGTCTGCATGCCACAATTAAGAGCCCACATGTGGCAACAAAGATCCCGCATGCCACAACTAAGACCTGGCGCAGCCAAATAAATAAATAAATTTTTTTTTTTAAATGAAAGAAAACAAATCTCTTTGTCTGTCACACACACATTTTGTTATTTAATATTTCCCAACTATTGAGCTATGAGGCAACCCAAGAAGAAGAAATGCCAGAATTACAAAGATAGAGAGATTTTAACTCTTGGCACAAAAAACACAAACCCTCATTTTTCTAACTCACTGACAAGTAAGGTTTTCTTATTTTTTGTCATGGTATTTAGTATCAACTTTAGTTGGCATAAAGGACAGTGTGAAATAAAACCAATTATTGGCCTACTCCTTTTGGAAAACTCATCTACTGTCTCTAAGTAGATGATTCTCAAAGCTGTTTTGACTCTTCACCAGAACTCAAGCTCTACATCTTCACCTATATGCAGAAACAGCTCTCCACCCAGACAACACTTAACTCAAAGTTCTTCCTGCAGTTGTAACCTTTTTCCTCTCAACTTCTCTACTTACAGAAATGGAATTAATATTCTTCTGTACTAGACATCTAGAGTCAGAACTTGGGGTGAGTATAAGAGCAACAACCATCAGTTAGTGAGCCCACAGTATATGCTGGGTACTTAGCTACCTTTACCTCTTCAACTCCATTAGTCCTTGAAGGCTAATTTTAATTCCTTGTGAGTGCTTAGTATAGACCATATAGCTCAGCCACTGTACTGGACTTCACATTGCTTCTTATATATTTGTCCTATCTTATTCAGCTGGACTATAAATATCTTGAGAGTAGCGATTTTACTTAATGGATCTATCAATGCCCTATGGTGCTTAAGACCATGTTCTGCACATCTCAGACACTCAAAACCTTGACTGATTAAAAGTTGTAAGTACGTATAGTATGACTACTTTTTAAATAATACATGTGGGTAAAGGTTATATATACACATAAACGTACATATATATATGTACATAGCTGAATATATATGCATGGAAAAGGATACATAAAGATGTATTAAGGTATTACGGTATTAAGATGACTGTTTCTGGGCTTCCCTGGTGGTGCAGTGGTTGAGAGTCCGCCTGCCGATGCAGGGGACACGGGTTCGTGCCCTGGTCCGGGAAGATCCCACATGCCGCGGAGCGGCTGGGCCCGTGAGCCATGGCCGCTGGGCCTGCGCGTCCGGAGCCTGTGCTCCGCAACAGGAGAGGCCACAACAGTGAGAGGCCCGTGTTCCGCCAAAAAAAAAAAGAAAGATGACTGTTTCTAATTTTCATATAATATAGGTTGCTTTGATAATGAACAAAAAAACAAACCCTGCATTTTGGGAACAAAAGGCTGCTTGTAATATTGGTTATTTTTAACAAGCTCTAGACAATAGATGGCCATTATACTTTTAATACAGTTAAAATTACACCATTATACTTTTAATACTGTTATCAGTTTTCCCAGTACTTTTATGTAGAGAAGAGTACACTAACTTAGGAATAACTTTTGTCTGCAAACAACATTAATAGAGAGGATTCACAGGTTGCCAGACAATCACCTAAGACATTATAAGATGAATAACTTCTTCTTTAAAGGAGCAAAAGTAGAAAATAGCCATTTTTCCCTCTCTGTATTAATTGCATCAAGTTCTAAAGGTTAATTTGTGTTTCTGATTAATGTTCCCACCAAAATCATTTTAAAAAATATATTTGATGAAATTGTGAAAAGGATACCAACAACCGGGAGAGGACGAGATGAGGCAGTAACAGCCAGCTCCCAGGCAGATTAAAACTCCAGCTTGGCCACAGACTTCTTCCATGCGAGATAGGATGCTGCATAAAGAGTTTTCAGGAAAGCCCTTCCCGGCACTGTATAAGCACAGTTATTGTGATCTAAAACTTATTTTAGCAAAGGGCTGACCCTAAAAACTCATTACTGCTTAGAGGAAAATGGTCAAGTTTAAAACTGTAAATGTGTTTGGGGAGGGGGATGTCTTTCCGAATTGGACACTCCCCCCCAGTTTTAGCAGTAAGAATTACTGGGGGGTAGGGAAGTAGGGGCACCGAAATTCACCCCTTACTCATTTAGAGTACAATATGACTTCACTGTTAAAGAATTAAATTAATTTTTGAAGTATATGCTTAAAGTAACAGATCTTTAATTCAAATAGATTACAACTTTTAAAGTGAATTGAGATGGTGGTATCAGTGTAAGCCTAGTAATCAATCTGGATTCTGATCTGTGAGAAAGAAAAGAGAGAAGGCAATCACAGGAGTCTCAGAAAGGATGTACTTTCCTTTCTTTCTCCCACCACCTCCCCACAGGGTGTGAAAAAATGAGTAGAATTTTAACAGTTGAAGAAGGGAGAAAAACACATCTCAGGGAGAAGAAACTGTATGAGCAAAACAATAAAAATGAGAAAACAGACAGTTTAGGAAGAGAATGGGCGATGGTCTTGGGGTAGATGGACCATAAGTTGCACCATGAAGATCAGGAAGGAGTAGGGATGGGCAAGGAGTGGTTAGGGCAGCAAAAGAAACTAGAAAAGTAAGGGTGAGTCCACATTAGGAAGTCCTCAATGCCATCTTAAAACTTAAAATGAAAGGTTTCTGAGTAGGGTAGTGACATGATCAGATCTCTGATTTAGAATAACTATACCTCCTTTGTAAAGAGATATAAAAGATTAACCAGAAAAATAAGACACCAGAGGTAAGGGAAAGTATTTGAGTATTTAATACCCCTCATATGCAAATATCAGACACCTAAGATGAGCAACACTCACTTCTCACCCTTCAGAGACTGTATTCTAGATCCTCACACAAGACCCTGCACATGGTGCCTCAAAGTTTGATAAATAAATCACATAAAGTGATAAGTGTTAAAAAAAAGAAATATGAACAAGTCAGTAGATGACTTAGATGAGGGAGGGTAAAGCATCTGGGCACAAATGGCACTTGAAGTGAGCCTCTGAGGACGAACAGGAGAGGATAAAGAGCATTTCTTATAAAAATACTAATTTGAACATTGAGGTGGAGAAATGATAGAAAATGCAGAGAATGTGATAAAGTATGAGTGGACCAATATGAAAGGAGCACAAAGCATATGGGGGAGAATGGTGAGAAATGAAGCCAGAAAAATCCATACGAACAGAGTATGAATAACCTTGAAAGCCAGCTTCTTGCTCTGAAGTAAATACTTTTCCTAAATCCTCACTTTTTTTTAAGATTTGGGGGAATCTTTTTTTTTTTTAATAGTAAAACAAACTTGTTATGTTATAGAAATCGTGCAGGGACTTCCCTGGTGGCTTGGTGGTTAAGAATGCGCCTGCCAATGCAGGGGGCACGGGTTCGAGCCCTGGTCTGGGAGGATTCCACGTGCCATGGAGCCACTGGGCCTGTGAGCCACAACTACTGAGCCCACGTGCCACAACTGCTGAAGCCCATGCTCCTAGAGCCTGTGCTCTGAAACGGGAGAGGCCACTGCAATGAGAGGCCCATGCACCACAGCGAAGGCCCACACGCAGCAACGAGGACCCAACGCAGCCAAAAAGAAAAAAGAAAAAAAGAAAGAAAGAAATCCTGCATAGTTTTCTTTTGGAGGAAAAACAAACAAACAACCAAACAAGAGTTCAAAGAAATCCCAGGCACTTATGGATCTGCTTATTCCAGAGTCTAGAAGGCCTCACGAATCAGAGGGGAAACTTTTCCTCATTTTCCCTGTGTTCAGCTGGGCGGCCCAGTTTTCACAGCTCAGTTTACCTTCAACAGTGTGACCTTTACATCTCCTGTGAACGTGGGAAAGAGTAGCTGCCGGGCGATGCCAGGGAAGGAGGGGATTTAGTGATGCAACTGCTCCATATATATATATGTATATACTTGCAACTACTCTTCCTGTTTTTAGCACCTCCTGCATCCCAACTTTTTGAAATTCCTACTGTCTCCAATTCTTGAACTTATTGATATCTGGTGTATTCTATGTTACAAACTGGCCTACCCATTAAATCATTCAGCTTTCTCTGGACTGCTAAATTAGTTACCACTTAACTGCTTTCCAGCTTCCAGAATTTTGTTAAAATTTCTCACCTGTTTTTATCTTCTTTCTCTCTCTCTCTCTCTTTTTGGTTCCTGGTGGTTTTTATGCCTTTTAAAAAAATCCCTTTTCTAAATATACATTATAAAACTGAGGCAGTGACTTCCCCTCGTGGTGCAGTGGTTAAGAATCCACCTGCCAATGCAGGGGCACAGGTTTGAGCCCTGGGCCAGGAAGATCCCACATGCCGCAGAGCAACTTAGCTCATGCGCCACAACTACTGAGCCTGCGCTCTAGAGCCCGCAAGCCACAACTACTGAGCCCACGTGTCACAACTACTGAGAAGCCCACGCACCACAACGAAGAGGTGCCCCCGCTCACTGCAACTAGAGAAAGCTCACGCGCAGCAACGAAGACCCAATACAGTCAAAAATAATAAATAAATTTTAAAAAATAAAATAAAACTGAGGCAGCACTCAGTTTCATCAACTTACACATATATTATAATTAGTTATTCATGCATCTTTTTACCTCCACTAGGCAGTGAATTTCCTAAGGACAAGAATGTTCCACTCATCTGTTTATCCCTAACG